AAGAGGAGCAAGAGGAGGACAAGAGGAGGACAAGAGAAGGACAAGACAAAGGAGGACAAGAGAAGGACAAGAGGATGACAAGAGAAGGACAAGAGGATGACAAGAGAAGGACAAGAGGAGCAAGAGGAGGACAAGAGAAGGACAAAAAAAAGTCAAGAAGAAGAGGAGGACCAGCGCGGCCAAAGGACAACAGGCCAGCCAGTGTGGCCAGCTCGTTTTCCTAAGAGAGAACCCCAACAGTAAACTGTTTCCCCCTCAAGCTGCACGATCGCAGGCCCGGACTAATGCCTGACCACAGTGAGACACTAACCGGCAAACTACGAACGAAATGAGCAAGCGAAAAGGTTTCAAGGCATGCACGAACCAAAATGTGGAAACAGCCTGTCTAAGAGGGTGAGCATCAACACAAAGTGATCCAATTAATCCGGGAAAGTACCAGTTTGGGGAAATAACCAGTGCTCGTCTTGGATTTGCCGTGGATGGTTTTCTGAACAACATCTCGGACAAGACAAGGCAGGCGGACGTCAAAGCGAGGTTGGCAGCATCTGCTTTGGCGGACCCGAGCCTCTGGATAGCCTGCGGTTCCGAGCATCAGGGCAAGCAGCTCCATCGAATCGTCGAAAGGTCCTTTGCTAGTAGTATTCTATGGTATTGATTCACTTTATGATATCAAGATATATCAATTATCTACGTGAAAGGCCTCAATGTAGTAGGATTTGGCTTCACAAAGATATTGAACTCCTGCTGTCGTTCGCCTGGGCGTGTTCGTCAGAAACAGCTGGTCTTCGATCACAGAAGACCAATCTTCGTAGGGTGACAATAAACTTTGCGGGTTGATTACTTCATGCAAAGCCCTGCGTCTTGAAGTGTACGAGTGTATTAATATATATATATATTGATTAGTTGTAAGGTTGTAGCTCTGTCTTAGCGTAAACAGTTGGTTTCGGAGGAGTGGCATGGTGCACCCGCACTGAATTGCAGCCTGCCTCAGCAAAGTAGCTCTTTTGAAGGCAAGGTTTCCCTGAAATGACAAGGATGCTGAACAGAAACTCACCACAGACAAATCCGAACCATCCATCGGGCCTTCTCCTTCAAGTCCTCTATAGACGCCTCCTTTGTGGGTCAGCTGTCAAAGGACATGCATCAACTTGCAATCAGAATAGTAACTCAGGGAAGAAAACAACTCAGGGAAGAAAACGTCTCCGTACAACACTTAGGCCTTGTTGCCAGTGTCACCAGGCTCAGGATCTGCTTGCATGAGGCCCTCTGAAAGTGAACATCTGAAAGTGTTCAATTGAACCTAAGAAGATCTAAGAAGACTTCTAAGACTATTGTGGGGTCTTCCAAAGGTTTGAAACAAGGTCTTGGAAAAGTTTGCTTTTCTCCCTTGTTGCTGCGCACTCTGTCACCATGCGTCACAATTGAGCGTTGGTCTTTGCGCACTGTCTCACTCTGAGGACTCTGAGCAAGCAAATGCTGAAACAACTCAGTCAGCACAAACACAAGAACGTAGGTGTGCATGTGCAGCTTGCAAAATTCACCATGACCAATGTCAGACCAGATTGATCTAGAACGACTTATCCCTCTACAAGCAATTACCTTTACAGCGACCAATGACAATTGAGTACTTAGTCAAGGTCAAAACAATGATGTCCAAACACCTCCAACTGCTCACTAAGACTTCAATGCATTCAACAATCCAATGAATATCTTTTCATGCTCTCAATATGCCCTCGAGCGAAGCTGGAGAGAGGCAAACCATCAATCAGCCTTTCACTGTTCCGCAAGACTGTAAGACTCAGTCACGCACAAATCACATTTCAGTCATCAAGATGGTACAATGGTGAATATGCATGTGCCCGTAGGTCTTGGCTCGGCTCAGGACACGTTTATGATGTGGCTTCAGCATCACCATAGCCGGCTATGCCACGCACAAATCTTTCTTCATGTCATCATTTGAAGCCGCCGGTGACTAGCGCCAAACCGAAGTAGCACAAACATTCAATGCGGAGGACACAAGCAGCCGACGAAACCCAAGGTTACCCTCTGCTTGCAACCACGTCATTTTCTAGAAATACATCCTCTCGCCCAAAAATTCTTCGGCTTCACCAAGTTTCTGTCTGTCTTGGACTTGACTTTTTCATTTGCCGCTCGGTCAAGTTTCGGTCATTGTCGGCTCTTTTCTTACACATATCGCCGATCGATGTGCGCTTGGAAGTCCCCCGCGAGGGCACAGTGAAGCACTTCCGGCCTATGCGTTCACAAGCCCTTGACGTGGACCTACGACGGAATGTAGACTGTTCCCACTATTTGGATTGTCGAAACCTCCTCTTTGGATCTCTTTGGGGGGTTTGATGCATCAACGGTCTGCATTCAGAAGTCACTTCTACTGTACAGCATCAGTACTACCTTCAAGCTGCTGTTCGTAGTTCCGTCTCGCGAAGAAATCAATCTCATCTGCATGCTGCTTTGGCCTCGAGGTCACAAGAGACCGGAACACCAATGTAAAGGATCAAATTTGAAAGCCACAAATACAAAGCATGCTTCGTATCCTCTGAATGACTTCCGTAGCCGTAGCCCTCTCCTCATTAGAGTCTCGCGCATTTCTACGAAGCCCTTTCCTCCAAAGCCATACTGATTGATGAGGAAAGTCTTTACTCGTGGTTCAAAAAGCAGCCACTCGCCTCACTTAAGAAAATACATGAAAATACATATCCAGTGTCAGCTGAAAAAAGCACCTTGTACCAGAAGCTGAAAGAAAACACCGAGGAACATATACTGTAGCATATGATAATTACTCAAACGATCTCACTTTATGAACACAGTCACAATGCTTCGAGTAGGAGGAACGCCTCCAGAAAGCGGCCTACCATGGCCTACCCCACCTTCAACAAAAGGACAAGTCGTCTATTCATGTTCCGGTCTTCTTTCACTTCGTCACTCTGAGTCACTTGTTGCCCTGAGTCGCTGAGCTGTGCACCCTGTTTCGATGTTTGCACCATGATCAGTGCAACAAACTAGCCTACCGAAGCCGGGGACTAGTATTGAGTAAGAATCCTGTCTATATTATATACATTTATATACTGTAGTCCTTATGAAGTCGGAAGCAACATGATCCCCTTCTTTGGGCGAAGTTAGGTTCTCTGTGAGGTTCAACCTATTTAACACTTGCAGCCGTTTCAGTGACCTAGCAAGAATATCCCACCAAGTCTCGGGCTCACAGTCACAGGTGATTCCACACACCATTAGTGGTACACCAGGCGGTCGTCGCCTCATTTCCCAGAAGAACTTGCATTCATCTGACAATCCATGATCCCACGCAGATGCATGTAGCCTTGACATCACCCCAAGGACAGCAACCAAACACAAGTTCACGCAAAATGTGCAAACAAGAGCAAGCCTGGTAATGTCCAGCATGACGGGGATGAGCAAGCAAATGCCAAGCAGGGTTGTCCTCAGCTGGACAACAGTAGAAGCCAGCAACTCACGGGGATGAGCATACCCCTGGCATCTGTAGCCTAATACAAAGACACTCTGGACATGTCTGCACATTCTTCCCCACAAGTACGTGGGGGTATGCTCAGCATCCTCCAAAGATCGGGTGCCACGAATTCATACAATTCCGACAATTCCATACAAGTCAGTCTAACAGTTCCAAGAAGAACAGTTCCGCTCAGAAGCTAGACTGACTTCTGATTCAGTCTAACAGTTCTTCATTCAAGCTTCATTGCTAGAAGCGTTGCCCAGAAGAACTTGGTGAAGCCCCCCAAGCATGGATCCACAGGACCTGCTCGTCCTTGGACGTCCACGGTACCAAGGCTCATCACCTGTACGTACCGGTACCGGCAACCGGTGGTTTCAAGGATTCAAAGCTGCTGGTGGCCTGCAAAAGCCAACTTCCCTTGGAACACAGCCAAGTGGACCTGCAGCTGTACGCGCAAAGCCACAAAGACTAACAACATACAAAGGGTACAAAGAAAGCCAAGGGGACTTCAGTTCCAGCCGATCATATCACAGCAGTCTATCGTTACCCTGCCGGGAACAAAGTCGCCCGTCCGAGATGAGTCTATCATGCAACCATCAGCTTATCGCAGAGTGGAACCAAAGACTTGAATTGGAGTTGGCCCCAATCAAATCATAATTCTAATTTTGCAAACGGTGTCAACATCCCGTCGGCGTGCCCGAGAAGTGTCGCAAATCTTCAATTCAGAATCCGTCTACGCTATTGCAAGTTGTATCAGTACGTCTCTCAATGCCATGAAATGATTATATGTACATATTACATATATATATATAATATTATATATATAATATATATATATACATACATTTTCTCATTTTTGTATAGAAGACCAAATCGATCCAAATCGATCCAGCAATTTGTGTCATTGTCTGGTTGCATATGCAATGACTGTTGCCGTCCACTCTATTTATTCTGACAGGGAATGCCAATGCAAGCTCACAAGCATAACATATGTAACGCAGCCAGCCATTACAATGTGGAGTAAAACCATGCAACTTCAGAGAAGATCAACCCAACCCCAACCCCAGAACACCACGGGGCAACGCTCAGCACACGGAAACTCCACTGTATCCGAACCTGTGACGTTCGCACTGGGCCGTTCAGTCGCTTCTAGTACCTTCTACTGCCCCTGTTCACATGAAAATACATCAGACATCATCAAACCTTCCACCAGCGACCTCGGAGGCTGTGCGGGTCAAACAAATTCGCACACACTCACACACTTCCGGGGATGCACAAACCTTAAACAAAATCCAAACCAAACCTTGTTCGGGAGTTGACCATCTTGAGGGTGAAAGACCACCTCGCTGGTCTGACCGCTACTCTGAATTGCCAGTTCACGCCCGGTTCAGGGCCGAGCGCAGGCAATGTAGCATTTACACTTTGGTCTGCCGTCCTCCAGCCACATGTGACACATTGTGGCCCAAACTGCCTTTTGGTGGCAACAATTGCTTTGACATGTCTGAGGCAGCTGGCTGCACACGTGGCAGCAGGCTGTGCTCAGCACCTGTCGAGTCGGTGTGGTTCGGTTTTGTCACGGTTTCGAAGCGACTGGGTCCCCGACTGGAGATGTTCCATTTTAGGCTTCGGCTGCGGTGAGTTTGCCAATGGCAATCTGCATGCGGCACACAACAGGAGTGAGCTAGGTTTTGTTTCGGGTCTGCCTACTATGGATGGTAGCAGCCACAAAAGAGCAGCGGCTTGCATGCGTGGCCTGGCTCGAAGCAACTGAAGTTGTTTGCTGGAGTCAGTAAAACCATGCAACAAAGGAATGAGTATGCAAGCTATTGTAGTACATCAAGAAGCGAATCTCTGCACTAGTAACAAGAAGCTACTAGTAACAAGTGCATCGCTTCTAGTAACAAGTGCCTTACTAGTAGTAACAAGAAGCTACTAGGAACAAGTGCCTTACTAGTAGTAACAATGTTTGCTATTAGTAAGTGAAAGCTTTGTGAACAAGAATCTCTGCACTCAGGTCCGTCCTCGGCCACCACGTAGTGGACGCGGGGTTGCGTGATGTTAGCTACCAAATGCTCAAACAACCAACCAGTGTTCAAATGGTAAGCTTCAATGACCGAGCAGCACCGTGCAACGGACCGTGCAACGGACCGTGCAAAGCAGGTGAGGAAAGCGCGTCGCCGTCGCGCCATCTTTTACCTCACGCCTCGAGGTTCCCTTGTGCAAGGCGGGCACATTTGTGGACGAGGCCGTACACCTTGGAGGCGCTTCAGCCTCTGGCCCTTGTGACATCTACCTTGAACAGGATGGACAGCGCACTGTCAGGATCAGCTGAATGCAGCTGAGGAGGGCTTCTTGAGCCGCGTCTTACAAAAGCAGTCACATGCACGACTGCGGGTCTTTCCCAACCTTCAAAGTTCACTCCTCGAATCTCCTCAACCTCACTAGGACGGCCAGCTATCAGGCTTGTATCAAGAGCCTCACTTTGGATGACTTTGAATCTGAAGGTTGTCAGTCTCCCGATGCACGAGATCAGGGCTCCTTTGGAAGTGCCTGGTGTTTGCCTTGTTGACAATTGACAGCATATCAGCACTCAGCCTTTCATATTCTACTATGTTACTACAAAAGGATACAAAAGGACATATGCACTCTCCAACAGAAACCAAGACTCTAACCAATGTGCCAAGATCTGCCAAGGTTACTCGGTTACTCATGATCTGATGGATAGCTTCTAAAAGTAAAGGAAGTAACAGTTAAGTGCCATGACAAAGGTTGATTCGGCTCCGTGCCCAGCTTGTCATTGATTGGCGCTTTGGCTCCCAGCTCCTCCTCAAAATCTGCAAGACTAGCCTGCAGCCCTCAGTCAAGTACTTTTCAAGACGGGGGCTCGAGCCAGCAGCACGGAGGATTGCGACACGCACTGTGCCAGCTGCAGCTTGTTCAGCTTGCAGTATGGGCGTCCTACTCTGCTTGGCAAACGTGCCATGTTCAGCCATGTTCCAATTCCGGCTTCTGTGCTGAATTCCAGACTCTGACTCTGCATCTGTTGGTTCTGTGGACGCCCAGAGTGAAGTGGACAGATTGGCTTTGAAAGTGCCTTCAGTCTTGCCAGCTTGCGCAAGAAATCGGCTGCCTACTCTACTCGAAAAAGAATTGGGCAGGCCTTCATTGTGGCTTCCCCATGTGGTGTACAACTCAACTGGAATACAGTGCACGTCAATGTGCACAGGAATCCCTGCTACAGCTGTACAGGATGCAAGTGCCTTGAAATTGCAAAGAAGCACTGGACTACACGTAGCAATATGGAGCAACAAACAAAATAGACCAGCAAGAATGAAACACTACATCATTGGGTCATATTGGGTCTATGAGCTCCAAAAAACAACTATATACAATGGGCAATGGGGCCACGCAGCGTGGCAGCATTGGAGGAAAATGGTTTGGGCACTTGCTACAGTTACAGAAACCCGACAGCTGTTCTCCCAACTACCTGTACGCATGCAAAGGCGTCATGCCTTTCCACAGCATCGTGTGAAGCAAAGAAGCCGTAACCATCCATGCATCTGTTCTTGTGCGAATCATGTGCATCGAGTAAATATGTATAAGAACAGTGACATCGTTTTTTTTGTTTTTAAACTAATTTATGGTTTGGAAGAACTTATTTGGTTCTGTAGTAAGGATGCAGAACACTTGCTTTGAAGAATGTGCGCCCTGTGTTGGCATGGCAGCATGTGCAGCTTTGGCTTCTTCAGGTTGGCAAATCAAGTGCATGGCCAGTTCCCCACTGCAAGTTTGCATGCCTCTAGCTACCCAGGCGCAGTTGCTGCCAAGGTAAACTAGAAGGTCACTGCTCAAAGACACAAAATCATGGCGTCCCAGCAAACACCGGAAGAGTCAAGTACAATATTGGGCGCTCCGGCTCTGACATTGTCATTTCATCTCCCGAGTTCTGCAATTTTTGTGAAAAAAAACTGTTGACTTTCTGTTGAAGGTAATATATTCACCAAAAAAAACTCCCGGGGACTGCCGCGGTCCACGGCTGCATCTCGATCATTAGCTCTTGTCGGTCTCATTGCTCCGTTTGGAGAGGCTGTCCTCGTAGAGATTCGGAGAAGAAGCGCAGAACACAAAGCGTAAACACACGAATGCGAGGCAGTATCAAAGGATATCAAAGGCGCTGGTGAGATGATGCTGCTACAAAGCGGATTGGGCAAAAGCTCCTTGATCCCCTCTCTGAAGGAGATTGAATCAATATGAAGTGACACCGATGCTCATGGATCGGGGAGGCTCAAGAGGCCTGCTAGTGCGTTTCAACCTTGTAATTATGTTCAACAGTTTTTGTGCCGGCTGTTGTCAAGTTGTGTTGCATGATTCTAAAGGTACAAGGAGACCGAGAAGCTGATCTTTTGATCACTGTCTCACGAAGCACCCGGTTCTCATTTGACCATTTGACCTTAACCGTTGGATGCTAAGGGAAAGCAAGCAAAACAGTCCCAAGCCAAAGAACTCCCAAGTTTCAATCCTCTATTTTCCAGGGTATTCATGGTTGCTTTTCTAGCTTTTTTCCCCACACACTCTCTCTCTCTCTCTCTCTCTCTCCTCTCTCTGGAACACCTCATTCAACTGAAATCCGACTGGATGCAACTGGATCCGAGCTCCTCAGTAGACATGGTCGACTCTGGGCAGGCAACATATTTCAGGTCCAGGTACAAATCCTGCCAGCAGCCGACTCGTCAACGACGAGCAAAGTCTGGATTCATGGCTTTGCAGCACAAATATGCAGGGGACTTGCCTCTTGATCTGCTGCCACCAAGTCGTTGCACAGCCCTTCTGCAAGTTCAGCCAAGCCTCCATCTTTGTACGGTTTGGCTTCGAAGATGCTCCAGGCAAAATTGTATACTATGCTTGAGAAACTTTCCCAACTTATATAGAAGTCCTGGATTAGCCGGCTGTATTGCTGACTTTGCTTCTTCCCGGAGTGCAGTGTTTTCGCCCTCGAAGGACCGAATTGCGAAGGACCGAATTGTACGTCAATGGTCGCGTGGGTGCTGTGTTGGAGTGCCGCGACTAGAATGACGGGTTGTGCCACGAATCGAAACGGTTGTCCTGTTCTGAAATCAATTGACGTTTTGTGACGCACAAAAACTCAGATGTCGGCGCACAAAACACATCCTTTGGGCAACCCCTTCTGTGGCTTTTCCGCTTATGTGCATGCAAGTCTCTGCAAGCATCTGCAAATGGCTCTGAAAAATATAGTTTCCCAAACATAAGTGAAACAAATGTTCGAACACTTTTCGGCCTTGAAACTCTAAACCTGGGGGAGGATCCGTAGTTTCCGCCGGGCCATGCCTGGTGTGGTAAGCGTGCAATAGGAAAGCTGCAGTCAAAAATATGTACAAAAAACGTTGAATAATGTTGTATGACCGATTGTTTGTACACAATTAATTACAACTTATAGCTCGTCCAAAATGCTTTTCCCTATCCTATTGTAGTTCTTCGTCCTTGTCCCCTCGGACATCTCTGAGCTCGAGGCCCACAAAGTTCTCTTGCCCACATGGGCGTCAATCTAGGGGGGTGCTTCCACAAGAGAAAGGGCACCAAATGGGCCAAGCTGGTCAACGAAAGCATCCAAGATCGCAACCCGGAGATTCCGTTCGGCTCAATCCCCGGGGGAAGGGGCATCGCAGCTGGGAGCATGAACCTCAGAAAGAGTCAACTCAGTCTTGTGAAAGCAAAAGCATATTGACAAGCCCTGCCTAAGCAAGGCTAAAGAGAAAGATTGTTCATGAATCCATCATGAATCCTCTCAGAACTAACCATCACTGGCAGCTGAGCCAGCAACATGCCAGCTTCGTCAGCTGCGGACGCCTGGCAATTCGCATCTTTTTCTTGGCAAACACACACACACACACATACACACTCACACACTCTTCTTTTTTCTGTACGAACAAAAACGCAGTATCTTCCTGTAAAGGGGACAGGGAGAGGTGGCAAACGGTGGCAGTGGCCTTTCGGCTGGTTGCAATCAGGTGTTGGCTAGGGTTTAGTGTTGAATCCTGCCAAGCTGAGTAGTTATATAATTGGCCTTGGACCCTTTGCCGTTGGGTATCAAGCAAAGAAGTCAAGCCGAGAAGCAGCAAGGATGTCTGGGCCCAGCAATGGTGTACCAAGATCTAGACCTCATCAACGATCAAAGGCGATTTAAGACACACTGACAGCGACTGAGGCTCCAGCCCGGAAACAGACCAGGAGGCGACAATGGACCGGCATAGCAACTTCGAGGGTGAGGCTGATGAGCCTCGAATGACTGCAAAACACCGACCCATGACATCTTTCAGCGACCCGTGCTGAAACAAAAAAGGGCGAGCGTGCCTCATAGCCCATGACATCGCCCATGGCTGCCATGCCTGTGAAAACTCCAAACTCATCATCATACCAAACCAATCTGGCACCGCCATCAATGCCTCCTGTTGCGCCCAGCTGAGGCCTGGCACAACAGAAGCTTGAAAGAAACCAGTTTCAGTATATAACTGGGACAACTCACGACTCGGAACGCGAGCAACTCACGTCTGGGCACGTACTCCGGACGTCCATGGAAAATGCCTCCATCGAGTGGCAGGTGTCGTCCACTCGGCCCAGCTTCCACTTCCAAGTTACGCTTGTTCAACAAAGAAACGCAAAAGAGATCAACAGCGTATTCTTAGAAATCAATTAAACAATGGCCGGCCTTTTTTCGGGTACCAGACACTTGGCTTGACCGGCTTTTGCTCAAGTACACGTACCTGTCATTTCAGCTTTCAAACAATCTTATGTCAGAGTGAATCATGTATTGCAGGCACAAGAACAGGCGGTCGGCACGTCTGTCCACACTCGTTCTGACGGGTGGCATGGACAAGATTGTGTCTCTCAGCCAATGAGTGTGCATACTTGGAAAGCGGCTCAACCATGCTAATGACATCTCTTTTGCACAAACATTTGTGCTCAACTTTAACGACAGGCAAACGCTGCGCACTTGCGCTGATGGGCATCAAGTGCTGCGGACAAGCAAACCTGTTCAAACATGATGCGGTGGTCGAGATGCTGTTTGTTCTTTCAAAACTTGAAGTGAATCCAACCTCCTTCTCGGAGTCTTTCAAGAACTTGTCTATCTCCCTTTGCACTATTGCCAACTCCTGTCAAAGAGACTGAAAGAAAGGCAGAAGGGAAAGCCCAAAGGTCTAAAAACTCTAGGAACAACATGCGAAGCGATGCGAAGCGCCTCCGCAGTGTCCCTACTAGAAGCTACTACTGCATCTACTGCAAATTGCGGTGAGCTTCTGCTTACCAACTTGTTACCTTACCCCCTCCCCAGGGTCTTCACCCCTCCCCCTCACTCCTGCGGCAAGTCTCCCCCCGCACTTTTTCGGCCAAAGAGATTCTTGGACTTCTGCACCTCGACCCTTGCCTAGCAGGACGGACAAACAACACATCTAAACAAAAACACATGCATTGTCGCTTTGTGTTGTTCTTGTGCTTCTACGGGAGAGATCGAGAGAGCACATGCATCATGCGTCCGGTTCCGCCTTTCGGCCGCCAATTTCCGGTGATGGTCCAAGCTTTTGCAAAGCCTCCCGAGCCTCCACCGTTTTCGGAAAGCTTGATCCGAGCAGTTGTCCAATGTCTTGCATGCGCCGAACTGTGCAGCACGTTTTCTGAAACGCTTGGGCAAAGCAAACATACACATACACAAAGACCAAACGGTCATCATATGACATCAATGGCTGCAACACTTTAGCGTTTCAATGGCCTTTCCGGACGTGGTATACTTCACAAAGACTGTACCTTCGAAAGCGCATGCGCTGCAGCGAGATGTACAACATCATGTGCAAATGAATGTTGCTGCTACAAACCAGCCGAACAAGCAACCCATAAGACTTCAGGCTCATACAGATCGGCTTTGCATCATGGAAGCCAAACTGTAACTGCTACTCTCTCTCTATATATATCCTTATATATCCTGATTGTATATCTATCTATATATATATATATCACATCCACCTGTCCACCTGCCATCTTGTGGGACACTAGAAAGTGACCAGTGTTTCGTGCTTGGCCCTACAACGATCTCTTTTGACAGATGTAGCGATGCAGCCATCAAAACGATGCTCCGAGCTTGCTGACGTCAACTACACTCCGATCTTAGAGCGGGTGCTGGTCCCTTGCACCTCCGAGAAAGATTGCCTTTAAAAAGGTAAACTGGTCCTTTGAGTACTTTCTCACAAACGTTGGTCCAATAAAGGGTGGAGCGGAATCCTGTAGAGGCAAAAACTTCCTGAAATATTGCAAGCGTGGGAGGCAAGGCTCAGCCTGTCGGGAGGTGAAGCACTTGGCGAGATGGTGCATATTAATTCAGGAAGAGACGGAGGATATCATGGTCACCGCCCTTAACGCAACATCTGATTCTAGCTGCATCTCTACCTCCTGATCATCCGGCATCGTCCAACCCCATTCCGAACGTGATATTGCCATTTTGCCTTCATTCTTTCGTTATCATTTCGTTTGAAGATTCTGAGCCTTGTCAACTTCTTTCAACTTGCTTTGCAAACCGTTTTGATGAGAAAGAGTCCTCCTCATTCATACGACGCAATAGCTTCAGCACTGTTCAACAGTTTGGATTTTCTGCATCGTGTCGTGCCATGCTATTCATCAAAGGCAACACAAAACATCACCGCCGCCATCCATGCCTCGGAATGAGCCACTAGCAGGATCAACATGAAGTTCTACCTGAGAGGACTAAAAACTCCAGTGTCAAGTAGTATTTCACACAATGTATCTACCAGTCTGTCGGCCTCCGCTGCTTGAGCCCCTTGGCTTTGTAGGTATCTTTCCACATCCTCCTTCGCTTTGGTGCAACTTCATGGCATCCAGATTCACAATATAGAATTCATGCATGTTTGCTTGCGCTTTTTGTATACACGAATATATGAACGATATGCATTTCCAAAAAAAACATGTACAACAATACCGCCGCGATTTGGAACTCCTTCCGGAAGTCCAGGGCAAGGTTTTTGATTACAAGAGTCGACACCTGCGAAGCGTACGGCGTGCCCACCGGATATGTTGCGCAATAAACATTTCATGAAGCATCATGAATCTGTAAACGGGTGCAGCTAGACCAGCTCCTTGCCTCTTCACCACTTGCTCTACGATTGGGAACTGCTTTGCCTGACAGTAAGTGGGCTTCACTGACCACTTGCTTTCTTGAGAAAGTCAGCAGGCACCTTCTAGATACACTAGTGATCACTAATGCTATTGCTTTGGCTCTTGTAGGTAAACATCCAAGCCTTTCCCATCAGGATTTAGCAACGGTGAGGCAGGGGCAGTCGCACAGCTCCTAGAGATGCATGGACCCAATGCAGCAATGCAAACACTTGACTCATCTATGTACTCTAAAAAAATGTTTGTGCGAAGTATGCGCAGGATGCCCGGAAAAACACAAGAGCAATCCCAAGACAATGTGACCACCCTTCGTTGGTGCGAAAGTCCATCCTCCGCCCAGGTTGCTTCCGGCGTTGTGATTGGCGAACATTGGAACGGCCTAACAAGTGACGTGAGTGAGATCATGGCCAGCTTTTGGAACGTCTGAGACTGGCAACATAGATCAGCCTAAGCCAGCCTAAGCCTCGCACAGGCCATCAGTTGGGGCGAGCAGCTCGCTGCTCTCAAACCCAGATCATCCTAAATGCTGAGAACACATGTGCAATCTGTTTCAGAAACGCGTCAAAAAACATGTCTGGTATCTGTCCAATCCATCTCACCTGGCCGTCTCTTTCCAATCCGCAGGTCACCATTCCGACCCTTAGAGTCGGACGACCGTGCACATGTGGTGCACACCGGTCAAGCCAAGGTATTGTGTTCACGTGTCTTCGGTGTTCCTATTAATTAAGCCTGACATTCCTCGTAGTTGCAAACCACAAACTATATTGACATTCTGGTGTTCGCAAAAAGAATGTGAACAATTTTACGAATCATTCTGTCAAAAGGCTCTCAGGACATGGCGATTGACAAGCTTCTTCATCCAATGTGACTGGATGTAGTGGGGTTAGCCTTTACTGTGCGAGACTGGATCTATCAACCCGGTGGCAGTGTAAAGTGAAATCTCAGGCAAAAGCTGTGGCGAGACTTGGTACCGCTCATCTGGAAACCTCAAATGCAACATGAATGGCTTCTATTCAACAAGACTCAGAACCTATGCTCGATTCGGTATTGGACATCCCTCCCCCATTACTACTTTGATTCAGAATGCTTTAACTTCCATGATCTTCCATGCACATCTACACGACATCACTTGGTCATTGCGAAACAAAACGAGGACTGCTGGGAGCTATGGCAGCCAGCTTGAGCTTGGTATGGTTGTACTTTCGGTGAACTAGACGGGCTGTCAAAAGAGGCACCACATGAGAACATGTCATGCCAGATTCACATGAGAACATACCTGACCAGCCTGGTTTACGTGTCGTTTTCAAGCCTTGATAAAAGGCTATAATCCGTGGAATTTGACAAGCTTGAGGGCAGGACTGCGTAGGATTGAACACAGGAGCTGAGGGATTAAACCTCGGTTGATAGGCTGACGAGAAGAAGAATGCCATAGAATGACTTTGTAATCTGAACTTCTGGTGGACGTCTTTTTGTATGGACATGCTGACGTCAGTGGGAAAAGAACACAAACTTATTGAAACTAAACTTTAGGACCTCTGAGGCCTCTGCTCAAAAAATGTGTCTTGCTCAATCCCTTGTGTTGCAGCCACCATTTTCAAAGATCAGCGGATCCGCCTCAGCGTTCAGGGCAAAGCCGCGGAGCTGCTCAGCACAAAGAACGGACAAATCTCGGCCTTCAGCTTGCCATTCAAGTGCACTTGAGCCAAATGTGTGCAGCCATATCGGTCGATTGTGTCGCACTTCTGCTTATAAAAATCATCTTAAATCACTTAAATCATCTTAAATCTATATATTTGGCGCTTCCACATTGACACAGGAATCTAAACATCTGTCTGGTCGGCTTTGCTCCAGCGCCAGCCTAGCCTACAGTAGCTCTCAAGATCCGTCCGCATCTGAACACGAGCGACCGGGCTGCCTTCCCTTTTGACTCCTTGCAGTCTCTGCGACCCATCTTTAGGAAGTCTCTGCGAAAAGTGACCGCCAGGGCTTTGGACTGGCCTTCTCTAAGGTCACCTGAGAAGCGAGAGCAAACATCTCAAACAAGTGCGGCAAAACACCAAGGATTATGCTCAAAAAACACACTCAGGACACGGCCACTACGTGGCCCTTGCTCAGTGTCCATGTGCAACCTGAGCCAAATTAAACCAATAGTTTTTTAAATATATGTTTCAGGTGCCTCTCAATTTGACTCTGCCAACAGCCTTCTGGACAACATGGTGAAGCGAGCGCTCCCTCCACCAACATCTTTCCCGAATGCAAGACCTCACCGGATGCGCAAGTTCACTCAGTGCCCTGGAGTCGTGACGGCTGACGGTCACTGCTCACTACGTCTATCTCTTTCGCCGAAGTGCACTGGTGTTTCTAAAAGAAGCCGAGCCCAAGCCTTGAGGGACTTGCTCTGAAACTGCACCTGGGTGCCCCAATCTACAGTCTCACCAATGTCTCACCACATAATAGGCAGTCTTGCCAATTCACACAATCTGGCGCCTTGACATCCGCTTTTGCTGTGTTGTCAGGCACGATCACAGAGACTTCAACTTCCTCAGTGTCCTCGATGCCAAAAAACATCTTTCGCAGCAGCACTAGAAGAGATGAGGAACTTTGCCTGCCGCCACTTGTAGGTGTCTGTAGAGCCACCTTGCTGAGGTGGCCTGGAACATGCCGAATTCGGCAACTGTTCGCCAACGGCTGATGAAAAAGATCTACGCTCATCTATGGTAACTATGGTACATGCTCTAGCTTCCCTTGGCAGAGCAATTAAAGCTTTGGGCCTCACATCGCATGATTCACTGAGGATCATGCGGAGGTCCTGGAGGTGGTGGAAAAGATCCAGGTGCTCCAGGAGGTCTCGGCATACCCCCAGCAGCCGCAACTGCCTGTTGACGACGGCGCACTTGACACTTGCAGCCCAAGCAACCCAAGGACCCAAGCCCCTTTTTTCGGCTTAGCAATTGGTTTGTTTGCAAGTACTAGTAACTAGTAGTTCCAGCCTTTGCTGCTGCAGCTAGCGCATTCGAACCTCTGCTTGCACAGGTCATGGCTTCATCCAAACAGATTCAACCAGCAAAAGCAGACTTGGAATCAAGTGCTGACATTGTGCAGACTTTGCAGGTGGGGCTACTATAGGGCCGTATATAGGCCATAGGAAGTCAGGCCTCCTGATGCATTGTCTGGTGGTTCTGGAAACTTGTCCCAAATCTTGTCACCATATCTCACAACCAGCTGCATTGCCTGGCGATGGTTTCTGCCAGCGGAAACGAAGAAAAACAGTGTGCGACTGGCGCAGCGGCAGCCGCTGGCGGCCTCAGACACAATGCCTTGCGGGTCATGAGAAGGCTCAATCGCCAAAGCCTCATCTTTCGAGAGAAGGCGTTTCAAAACTGAAAGAAGGAATTCACGTGGTTCCACAATCAGATTTCACAATGCTAGATTCAGGGAGATTCAGCAGTTCAGGCCTCATTTTTGACTGCTTCTATTTCCTGAGACAGCTCTCGCTCTGCTGCCAGCACCTCACAAAAATAGGGTAAATAAGTTAGCCTGGCTGCACACTTCTGCTTACAGCGACTTGACGACGTCCATGTAATAAGAGTTACAATATGTTACAATATCCAAGGATGCGGCAGAGTTCCAAAACTTCGAAGTAATGATGCCCTTGGAAAAGAGCTTCCAATAGCCACGCGCCTCGCAAGATTGCTGAACAAATGGTTCATTTCGTACTGCACATGATGCTTTGGCATGCTTTGGCGTGCTTTTTGCACTGTGGGCGGCGCATCTGCATCAATTTTTTGCAGCAAAGACATATCTCCAATGGCTCGTTGCATCAGCCTGTACCTTCTCCAAAAGCACGTTTATTGCATTTATCTAGCTAGCATGTTAACTTGCTGCCCTCTTCTCTACATCTGCAAATGTTTCTGCATATTTTTGGCCCGGGGCACTTGAGCATGTCTTTAGCATGAGCAGGCAATTTGCAAACCCACAAGTCGCCCACAGCATCCTGCCAGTCAGAACTGTGAGGAGGCGCTCAACAACACCTCACTCCGGTTGCCCTACCCTACATGTGCCTTGGCGAACTCATCGCGCATCTTTTCCTTTAGCTGTAGGTATGCCTCAATGGGCAGCAAAAACCATCAAACAATGAAAGACTTTGGGACAGGTCGGTCTCGCCGTCTCGCCTGAATCTTGTCACCAGGCAACGCACCTCTTGGGTAGGTTGGTCTCACCTCGGGTGTATGGACAAAGTACAAGTTGACATTTCATTGTCTCTGCACCAGGAGACAGACCCCCAATTCTTCTAAAGGATCTTGCTGCCTGTTGCAAGTACACCATGCAAAGCTCTATATAACTCGACATGAACGTGAATAACTTTCTATGGCGATGCATCTCTGCCAAATGCCTCGTTATCCAAAAGCTCACCACAGAAGAAGCAACCAGGCTTATGGCAATGACGATGCCGACCACAACCCTAAATCTGCTCATTTGGCACAGTCTCTGTTCGTTGGCAATGACTTCACTCCAATCTGTTTATATACAGCCACTAGGGGTGCAACACCCACAAGGCCATAGCAGAATGCCCTGGCACAGTGCAAAGAGTGACCGTGCAAAATCATGCAATCCAAATGCCCAGGGCATCCAAACCTCGCCCTATCACAGCACTTCGATCAGAACCATGGCTTGCTGGAGCTCACAATCATGACAAGTCCCAAACCTTTTACGTTGAAGTGGACTTTTGTCTTGACGCATTGAACCTCTTGCTTTGGCTTGGGAGATGTTGTTGGTCTGGACAGCGGGTGAAAGTTCTCGGTGTGCCAATGGCAAGCCCTCTGTCTTCCTTGAATGGTTTGTGCATGTCTCATTTCGGTGATAGGTGTGAGGACATGTGAGGACCATCATCCAAAGCCCGCTTGAGGTAAAAAGCTGCAGAGAGTCGACGACCATATACCGTCGGGAAGTGCGCTCCCGCCGCGGGGCAGGTTGGACCAAGAATCGAGGAAGAAACAGGTCTTTGCAAAGCTAGAGAATCTTGGAGCGCTTTTCGGTCGAGCATCATGCGCTTCACCTGGGCTTCACCCATCATCAACATCGTCTCGCGCCTTGGCCTTCAATCCAAGACTCCTCAGGGTGCAAAGTATCTCACCAACTCAGAAGAACATTGGAAACCAATCCTGAAAGGAGTCAGTATTAGATCATTGCATACCTTGCTACAATAGTCTTCCCTCACGGGCCTGGCCCTCTGAATGGTCTTTTCTGTCGCCTCAATAGGTCAATGATTGGTCTTACAAAGCATTACAAAGCTGATGCGTTCAAACAAATGCCGATCTAGCCTGCGCTATGGCCGCCTGACAGGCTGCCTTCAAAAGCTGATGCGTTACTGGCGCTGCTTCTGCTCAAAGCATTATGGTATGCTGCAAAACAATGCGGCAACTGTATATATATATATATGTGATTATATGTGTGCGTTCAATTGCGTTCAAGGTACCCCTTATCTATGCCATCTATGCTTTAAGATTCTGTTGCACCTACTTAGCTTCTGAGCGACCTCAGGCAAAGCCTTCAGGGAGAACATGTCAGACAAGCGAATCAACTGTTAAGTCAGCGAATCAAAGGAACGACGCGCGACTCGCTTTCCTTTTGGTATCGTTGGTTGTTGGGGGTTGCGACTCGCGGCTTCCTTCTTTCGGCTCCCCTGATTCCCGATGACTGCTGGAGCTTGTGGTGTTGACTGGAGCGACAGATTGCAAATCGAACGATGACCGTTTTTCCCCGAGAGTGGTCTTCCCATCTTGTGGTCTTCTGCTTCATCAAATGCTATCCTGGAATCAGAGATCCTTTTTGGGATGCCACTCCGATATGAAGCCTTCATTCACCTTCCCCTCGCTAGTTGTGGGTCGGCCGTGTTGTTGTAGAAATTGGCAAATGGTTCTTCCTGGATGACTGGACACGAGCCAAACTACCTTGTTCCTCAAGCAATAGACCGTGGAGACTTCAGGAGGAAAAAGTTCTTCCACGTCTTATACAGTAACATCTATGTGGATCAGCCGCGGTCGAATTAAGAAGTCCATTTTGCGTGGAGAGTGCGGGACGGTCAATTATCACCCTCTTTTAAAATATAACATCATATAACAATTCAACAGCTTTGGAGGGAGGAAATTCGAGTGTGCGAGGCGACATACAGTGAGCGTCTTGCAGGATTCTATGGGGAACGGGTTCTCAATTTGGAACCTTCAAGAACAACATTTTGTCCTATTGGTGTATCGACATAAATGGTCATAGTAGCTGCTCGACTTTAGCCTCCTCCTGTGAAGACTTTATATACACTTATGTGGAGCCCTTTGGACTTTGGATCCTTTTTGCTTTAGTTGCTCTCTTGATCGATCTTGGCTTCTAACATCTAACAGTTTCCGGCCATCCTCCGAAACAGCCGCTTGGCCTAAGAGCTAAAGATTTCTCACCAAAGCCGACTTGCATTGCTGGTCCTGCGGTCTCACGTTCTTGTCGACAGCACGCTCCCAACACTTCCGCTGACAGTACGCTCCTTTGACAATCGTGTCAGGGTAGAGGTGGGGTGGCATGCATTGATTTTTCAGCTTCTGATTCTGCTTGCTACACGGTTTTTAGTCTCTGATGTGTCCGTTTCCATCTATGCTGTGCAAACTGACCGAATGCTTAGGCAGGGTTTATGTTTTGTTCTCTCTTACTGAACACCATGA